TCCTCAAGGATGAAAGGGTCAGTTTGGTACTCGAATTTGCATAAAAAGGGCCAAATAAGTCCTTACTGTCCGGCCGTCTCCATTTGGGGCGATTCCCGGTGGAATTTTTTATGAATTTTTTTTAGCATATTATTCATGAAGTCTAGTTTATTCATACCAAATTTCAGCTAAAACTTCAATCGGGAAAGCATTCAAATGAATTCTTGAAGATAATTGCGTCTTTCACTGCGCAGTTATCTTCAAGAATTCATTTGAATGCCTTCCCGATTGAAGTTTTAGCTGAGATTTGGTATGACTAAACTAGACTATATGAATAAGATGCTCAAAAAAATTCGTCAAAAAATTCTACCGGGAACCTCCCTAAATGGAGACAGCGGGACAGAACCTCCTATATAAGGACTTATTTGACTCCTTTTATGCAACTTCGAGTATCAAACTGATCCTTTCCTCGATCCTCAGGGAATAAAATTGAGATATTACCCAAAATGGGACTAAAAAAGTTTAGAAATTCCAAAATATGACTTTCTTGTTTTTATTCCCAAAATAGGACTAATTACTGTCATGTTTTAGCAGTACCAGACTTCAAACATGACAATATTTTCCAAATTTGGCAGTAATTAGTACCAGACTTTTTTTGGGAACTTTCCCAATAAAATTTACATTTCCATGGCTATCTCTAAAAAAAAGGTAATCTGAAGCTGTGGAGAAGGAACAAGGACACCAGTGTGAGGCGAAGTTGTAGTAGGTGGGGGTATCTTGGTTGGTGGGTACTGTATTTGCCTACATTTACGGGCAGCGGACTTTCCGAAGAAACATACTTACAACAAAGGCTAAAGGCATATTCCATTCGGCATCTCACGGGACATCGTCTCCAGTCTCGACCAACCATTTATAGGCTTCACTTCGGTCCCGAGAATCAATAAGCAAGATGGCGACCACCAGTGCTTTGAATCTGAGCACGTCTTCCTCAGCCTGGATCCGTCAAAATCGTTCTTTTAGTCAACGTACTGATTCATCATTGATCCGCCCTGCTCGCCGTGACTTCGTTGTCCGGGCTTCCGGATCTTACAACGACGAGCTCGTCAAAACCGCTGTAAGCGTTCCTGCCATCATAATTGATGTACATATATTGGAATGTGAAATTTCCCTATTTTGATTGTGAATATTTGCGGGCATTATGTGCCTGCGTTGTCACTGCATCACTGAAGCTTGTATTTGTTTTATTGATGAGAACATTTGATCTTACTGGGATTTCAGAAATTAGTTCATAGCTGAGTTTTTAAGGTACAAAGAAACTTTCGATTCGGGTAAATTAGGGTGCTCAAGGTGGGTATGCATAGCGTCTCATAGAGTAATGTTACAATGATTAGAGAAATTGCGTTTACTTTGTTTTACAGCTCAGTTCTGCCATTTATTAGTGTGTGGCTTATATATCAGCGCTTCTTGAGTAAATCTTAACCTTTTCGTTTTCCCTGTATGGGTATAGAAAACCATTGCATCTCCTGGAAGGGGAATCCTTGCCATTGATGAATCTAATGCTACATGCGGAAAGAGACTGGCATCTATTGGTCTGGAAAACACAGAGCCTAACAGACAAGCTTATAGGCAGCTTTTGCTGACAACCCCAGGCCTTGGTGAGTATATTTCTGGTTCTATCCTTTTCGAGGAGACACTTTACCAGTCAACTACAGATGGGAAGAAGTTTGTGGACTGCTTGCGTGATGAGAACATAGTGCCTGGGATCAAGGTTGATAAGGTACGTTCATTTTATCATGTTAACTGGTTCTTGAAGTATGGTTTTCTTTTTTCAAACTATGTTTTTGCTTTATGTATTCCGATTCTAAGTTATTTTATGCAAAAATTTTAGCTAATGCTGTCAATTATTGAATCTTTTCATGTTTCTATAGGGTTTGACCCCCCTCCCAGGATCAAACAATGAAAATTGGTGCCAAGGTTTAGATGGCTTAGCTTCTAGATCTGCTGAGTACTACAAGCAAGGTGCCCGTTTTGCAAAGTGGTAAGATTTTCTCTTCTGGGCGTGTAGCTTTGCATCTTCCCTATTTCTTATTTAGGTTCAGGGGGCTCTTACATGTCAGCAAGAATTACATGGTAAAAAATGATGATTTTTGCAGGAGAACTGTTGTGAGCATACCTTCTGGTCCTTCTGCTTTGGCTGTAAAAGAAGCAGCATGGGGTCTTGCTCGCTATGCTGCTATTTCTCAGGTATTTTCAAACTATTGAAGACCACATTTCTGTTTCCCCCCCCCCTCCATATGTTCTTATGCTTAAATCCCAAAATCTTATACTCATTTTCCAAATAACTTTCTTTTTTTAGATTATCAAGAGAGCATTAATTACTTATTGTCCACTATTACCCTTCTCCATCCATATATGCGACACAATATAATACTTTTAAAAGAAATAAGAAAAAAACCATTAATAGGGGTTATGGGGCATTTTAGTCAGTTTATACGATAGTACTAATTTTGCCTTACCGTTAGTGGTAGAAGATATTGCTCTCCTAGTATGTCTGCTAACAACTAAAACCACACTTCGAAAGGAATGGTGGGGCTACTTCCCATGGATGGTTAGATTGAACCTTTTTTTTGCTCATTTTCTTAACACTGATTATATATCTGAACTCTGCAGGACAATGGTCTTGTACCGATAGTGGAGCCTGAGATTCTTCTTGATGGGGACCATCCTATAGAAAGGACTCTTGAGGTTGCAGAGCGAGTATGGGCAGAGGTGTTCTACTATCTAGCTGAAAACAATGTTTTCTTTGAAGGAATTCTACTTAAACCTAGCATGGTTACCCCGGGGGCTGAACACAAAGAGAAGGCTTCCCCGGATACCATTGCCAAGTACACTCTCACTATGCTGAAAAGGAGAGTCCCTCCTGCTGTTCCTGGGATCATGGTATGGAATCTTTTAGACATTTCGAAAGTACAACGTTTTTCAACTTAATTGCACGTGAGTGTTTTTATCGCGTTTGAAGTATTCTGGAAGAAACAATTGTTGTGAAGCTTTGCTGTGGTGGGCCTGGTGGCTATTGTTGGATTTTTGTAGCGCAAAGCCAAGGATAGGTGCAATTATGTATGGTTGGCACACAGATGTTAGGAACTTGTGGTTTTCGACCACTAGAAGTCTTCATAAGCCCCTACTTGTGTATTTAGCAAGATAACTTATTTGAAAAGGTTCAACCTTTTTCTGGGATGCTACATGGGGTAGCTTTTGTAGACAAAAAGCTCTTCTTCCTTAATTACCTGTCGTAGTTGCTTGTTTGTTAAGCCAGCTTTCATCAAAGAGATTCAATCTTTTCCATCAATGATCTGTTTATGTATTAAAACCTAATAGCTACCAAACAATTTCAGAGATGAGCTTTTCACCAAGCTGTGCCCAAGATACTTTGATACAATAACTCATTGGCTTCTAATGATTTTGTGGTGTTCACACGTCCTTTGTGTTGTCATAGTTCTCTTGTTATGTTTTCTTCAACAGCTCTGATGAACATGTCTTTGAAGTTGTATTATTATTTGTTTTCTTTGTCTCAGTTCTTGTCAGGAGGACAATCTGAAGTGGAAGCAACATTGAACCTGAATGCAATGAATCAAAGTCCAAACCCATGGCACGTGTCCTTCTCTTATGCACGTGCACTCCAAAACAATGTCTTGAAGACTTGGCAAGGACGCCCTGAGAATGTGGAAGCCGCACAAAAAGCACTACTGGTTCGTGCAAAAGCAAACTCCCTGGCTCAGCTCGGGAAATACTCAGCTGAAGGTGAAAGCGAGGAAGCTAAGAAGGGAATGTTTGTGAAGGGTTATACCTACTAAGTGCGTTGAATCATAATTGTGCAACAACTTGTATCTCGGCTGCTGCCTAAGTAGAGAGTATTTATCTAGAGACCATATCCTTCATTAATTCGGCTCTTTACACACTTCAAATAATGTCTGCCATCACTAGCTTAAGATCGCCCAACTCTTTACCTTGTGATGCTTTTATATTGTTTCCTGCTGTGTCCATCCTATGGGCGCCTGCTCTACCATTTGATCTATGAACACGTTTTCTTTTTCTTCGTCTTTTTTGGATAAGAAAACGGTTAAAATTGAACACGTATTCTATTTTTTGTGTGGAAAGATCTTTTTTTTTGTAATTAAGCTTTAGGTAGACATGAATATGGGAATGGCTTCGGCTATTTGAAATATTAATTATTAATACAAGTAGCGTTAAGAATTTGATTAGCTCTTGGCCTCTTGCCCCTTCGTCCTGCTCGTTTCTAGTTTTCAACTTCGTCCTAGTCAAATACTCAAATTTAAGGTCACGTGTTAAAATTATAACTCACACGAGTGTCAATCCTATATTTGTTTATTTGTACTTTTTAATTTTTTTATCACGCAATATCTTATTATTTATAAATACATTTTACAAGCCCAATATAACAAAGGAAAAATTGATGGTAATAATCTCAACTATTGGCGGTCCACTCATTATAATTCTAACTATCGATTATTTCAGAATAATTCCAACTTTAGGGACCTTCCGTCAATAATGGTCCCTATAACTAAATTCATGTAGTTTCTAAATAATCTCAACTTTTAATTTTCACACTTAATTTCTATTTAAAATTCACTTTTTATAGAAGGTAATATATGGTCATGAGCCATTCTAAATAATCTCAACTTTTAATTTTCACACTTAATTTCTATTTAAAATTCACTTTTTATAGGAGGTAATATCTGGTCATGAGCCATTATTGGCGGATGATCCATAGAGTTGGGATTATACAAAAATAATCAATAGTTGGGATTATTATCAGCGGACCAGCAATAGCTGGGATTATTTTCAATTTTTCCTATAACAAATCACTTCTCTGTTTTTCACACAAAATGATATTGCTGTACATAACGTATATGAATGGAGGTTGTTACTAGACATATTATTCAAATAAGATTATGAACAAGGACACCCCATATCATTTTAGTCCACAAACTAATAAATCATTTTAATTCTTAATCTTGCTAATATGTATGAGAGAATGACGGAAAGAAGAGTATGGACTTTCTCCTAGACAAATATAAGACTCATTTTAAATCTGGACAAAAAAAGAGATTAAAAATGTGTGAACGGATGAAAACACCCCTTACATTTTTTTTTTGGATGAAATGTAAATATATATTAACACCCATAAAAACTTTACATCATATAGCTAAGATCTCCTAAAACCCCCCCAACCCCACATAATGTGGGGTGAAGAGAGGTTTTTCTTCGATCTTATCTATGGAAATCACCAAGTAAACTTGGCCCATCAAAATAATCAAAACATAGCGGTGCTGCCAAATTGCACACACCTATCGGAGGCTACAAAAAATCCAAATAAAAACGGGGTGCCGCAAGGTACATACACCCACATCAAAAATCACGATATCCATAATCTCCATATCGTGGTATCCTAGTTCAGAACTTCACCAGATCATGCGGGTAAATACTGTAAAGTATTTTATACACCACATGCTTGATCTTGGCTACCACATCATCTTCAGACTTCATGCCTTCATCAAATCTTGCGTTATTCCTTGCTTGCCAGATATGGTAAACCGTCGCACAAAAAGCAAGCCGTCCTGCCTTGGCCTTCAACGTTGATCCCTTGCGTTTCTTAGAAATCCATTTTATTGCACTAAGGAGTGTATTCATCTGATTCCCAAATCCGACCCATGCTCTAATTTTGTCCCAAACTCTGCACGCAAAAGGGCAACAAAAAAAGAGGTGTGGAATTGTTTCCAATCCACCCTTGCACAGATCACATCTATTAACAATATAAAGGTATCCGAGACTGTCCTGTGTAGGAAGTCTGTTCCTCAAAGCCAACCATACATTAAAAGAGAACTTCGGAGGGATGTAGGATTTCCAAATGAAGGTCATCGGGGTCCTAGGGGTCCCTCTTACTCTTAAAAGTTCATATATTTTTCCCGACACCAACTTATCATTGATGCATCTCGCATTTAAACCTAGTACGGTGTCATTTAAGTTATTAAAACATCCTCGCAGTCTATCTCGGATGAGACCCAACCTCTTCATTAGTTGAGAGTCTCGGCTATGTGGGACAAAGTCCCACACATTTTTATCCCGAAGATATACTCCATTAATCCACCGAACCCACAGGGTATCCTTTTTCCTATGAACATCCCATAGTGTGCGGGCCAAAAGACTATCATTCCAAACTTTGGCATTGTGGATGCCAAGGCCACCTTCCTCCTTTGGGAGACAGATGTCATCCCACGAGACCTTGGAGTATTTCCCACCCCATAGGAAGATTCTACAAATCGATACTATCCTATCCAATATGGTTCGAGGAACCGGGAAAATTTGGAGCCAAAAAGATTGAACCCCTTGAATTACTGAGCGGATTAGTTCAATTTTCCCGGCATAGGACAGTGTTTTTGTATTCCAAGCTTTTAAAAAATCATTGACCGTATCAAGTAATGGTGCATATTGTGCAACCGAAATCCTAAGTGGAGCAAGAGGTATTCCAAGGTATCTTACCGGAAATACGCCTTGTCTATAATCAACAATATCCAAAATGTTTTGAAGTTCTTGGTCCCTCACCCCACCCACGAAAATATTAGATTTTTCGTGGTTTACCCTAAGGCCCGATACGTCCCCAAAGTCCTTCAGAGCGTTGACCAATATTTCCACTGAATACGTGTCACCTCTAGAAAAAAGCATAAGATCATCCGCATAGGCCAAATGGGTAATACCCAAGGAAGAGCATTGGGGGTGGAAGTTAAAATTATTTCCCTTGGTTCTCAACGTGAGTAACCGAGAGAAATATTCAAGACACAAAACAAAGAGCAGCGGAGACATAGGGTCTCCCTGCCGTATTCCTCTTTTTCCTTTAAAGAATCCAAACAGTGATCCATTTAAGGAGACCGAGAACGAGGACGTCGAGACACATTCCATTATCCATCCAAAAAATCGAGTTGGGAGGCCCAAGCCCAATAAGACTTTTTCAAGGAAATCCCATGATATCGTGTCGTAAGCCTTGCGCAAATCCACCATAATCATACATCTTGGCGAAATTCGCTTCCTATTGTATCCTCTAACAAGTTCCTGGGCTAGGAAAATGTTATCAAACATTAGGCGGCCATCGACGAACGCTCCTTGGGCTTGATTAATCAACCCCGAGAGGCACGGGGTTAATCTAGCCGCAATAATCTTAGTAATGACTTTATACAAAACATTTGTGCAAGAAATGGGTCGATAGTCCGAGACTTTTGGGGAGTGACTAGTCTTAGGGATAAGTGCTATAACAGTATGATTGATCTGTTTAAGCATTTTTCCCGTTCAAAAGAACTCCTTAATAGCCCGTATCATGTCATTCCCAACAATACTCCAATTGGCTTTAAAGAAAGCCGAGGAGAACCCATCAGGTCCTGGTGCCTTATCATTCCCGATATCAAACAAGGCATCTTTAATTTCCTTGTCTGTTACCGGTGAAAGAAGGCCTTCATGAACACCTGGTTCAATCAGAGGACCAGTACCTAAAACCGAGTGGTCCAGGTCCAGGGTATCCACCTGTGTTCCAAATAGATCAACAAAAAATTTTACAAATACATCACCAACATCATCTAAAGATTTAGTAAAGCTACCATCTTCAAGCATAACCGAGGAGATGGAGTTCCGGGCAGCGTTCCTCTTCACAATTGCATGAAAGTAACGTGTGCCCTTGTCCGCTTCCAGAATGTGAGTGGTTTTGGCCCGTTGTTGGAAGAAGCATGTTTCGGCCTCCCCCAAGAAGGTTGCTTTTTTCCTTGCCGCCATCAACTGCATTCGAATATCTTCATCCGTGGGAGACTCCAACATTAGCTTGTTTAGCCTTTTAAACTCTTCCTTAGCCAATTTTGCCTTGGTTGAAATATGGCCAAACTCTGCCTCATTAAGCTTCTTTAAAGGTGTCTTGAGTGCCTTCAGTCGCCTAACAAACGAGTATTGAGCTGTACCAGAAACAAAAACAGTCCAACTCTGCGCAACAATATTATTAAAGTCCGGATGCTTAATCCACATATTAAAAAATTTAAAAGGTTTCGGCCTTAGAGAGGAATTTATGAGTATTGATGTTACGGAGGCCGTATGATCAAACTCCACCTCCATTTCATTGAAATGGGCCCTACACACAATTCTTTTTTGTTCCCAAACCTCATTCAAGAGGACTCTATCAAGCTTAGCCCACAAAGAGCCCCTATTCCACGTGAAAAACTCTCCAGTGGATGGGGCATCCTCCAGGTTAGCCATGATTTTAAAATTAGCCAGATCCTGCATCATATAAGCCGATGGTGGGGTTGATCCCAACCTCTCATTAGGGGCACAAACACAGTTAAAGTCACCCAAAACTAACCATGGTTCCGTTAACCGGCATCCAAAGTTAGCTAGGTATTCCCATAAAGACCTGCGCTCCAAGACAGTATAGAGTGGATAAACAACAGTCATAAAGAAAGTTATGTGAGATATACGGCAAATACATTCAATATGAATATGCTGGGTATCAATCTCACTCACCACACAGTTCAAAAAAACAGGATTCCACATTACAACAATTCGGCCGCCAGGTATGTGTGCAAAATTATTTGCATACAACCAGCCAGGCCATTTATTGGTAACATACTTTTTTAAATTTTCATTACTCATTTTTGTTTCTAAAAAACAGCAAAAATTAACCCTATTTGTTTTAATAAAGTTACTAATAGTATTATGCTTAGAGGCTTTATTTAAACCCCTAACATTCCAAGAAGCAATTTTAATCATTAAGAAAGATAGAGGTCCGAGGAATGAGACTCATCCCCGGGGTCACCTTCTTCACCACCTAATAGTTTCCCAGCCTGCCTTTCCCTTCGCAGTTTCTCCTTAAGGTACTTGACATTCCTGGCAAGTTTAGCATTGAAAAAATTCATAACATTAGGAGTAAAGACATTATTAGGAAATTCATACCAGTTGCCTTTCTTCTTTACACCAGGATAGGATAAGCTGAACGCCTCAGTGAAGGTTACCCCTGGATCCTCGTCTTCTACTTGTTGGAGCTGAAAGCCCACCCTAACCGTAGTCACACCAACTGGCAGCAGGTCTGGCGAGCAAACACAGGCCATCATTTTGCCTTTTTTATCTGTGCCTACCTTTGTAACAACATCCCCTTCAGCCATGTCATGCATATTGCGAATGGTGTAGCTAAATTCACCAATTTGAGGTTCTTTTCTGCCCGTTTGAACTGCCTCTTCATGCGGTACAGCAGCTGGTTCTTCTAGAGCCAGTTTAGAAGTGCTCGGTGCATCCAAAGATGAGTGATTCAAAGCTCTTAAGAAATCCACATTTTGCTTAGCCTGAATATCAAAGAAGGAAGCTACGTTAAGATAAAAAATTTCTTTATTAAAGGCATACCATTTGAATGTCCGCTTCACTCCGGGGAGGGTAACCAAGCATGGATCAGTAAAGGAGATAGCCGGCACATCCAAGTTATCAACACGTTGAAGATTTGTTCCCAGTCTTGCAATAGGAATGTAGCTCATGATCTGGTGCTTCTTCTTGACATAAGCCGCATGCACTCCATCTTCATTGGTTTCAAAGAGGTTGACAATATCATCAGCCTCTAATTCATAGACACTCAGAATCCTGCGACCCTCCCAGTCAAATCCATGTTCCTGAACCAATTCACTTTCGGCCGGAAGTGAGAAGGTGTCTGGCAGTTGAAAGAGGCCTGGCTTAGAAGTGTTTCCCTGCACCAGTGGTCTTTTGTTTTGCCCTCGGTCAGTAGGATATTTTCCTTTCACAGTAGTATCGGCATCCACCTTGTTTTTCCTTATCACATCGGCATCCAACTTGTCCTTTTCCTTTGGAGGGTTCAGCTTTAAACAATTAAACGGATGATGGCCATACATCTTACAATTGTAGCAGTAATCCGGGTATGTCTCGAAGATGACCTGCTGCATATACTCGTTCCCAGAAGGAGGAACGATTGGAAATTGGGTCACCGGGGGCTTTGTGACATCCACTTCAACAAGGACTCGAGCAAAGTGTGTATAGACAATATCCTGCGTAATCTTGTCCGCTATGATAGGTACACCCACTTGAGAAGCGATCATACCCAGTTCCTTTGCTTTCCACAGTCGCATAGCAAGTTTTGGAAGTTTGATCCAGATTGGGACCTTCAGAAATTCAACACTATCAACCGAAAAGTCTTCGGATAGTTCTTTTAGGAACATGGTTTTTCCAAAAAGAACATAAGGACCCCCAGTTAAAACCTTCAACCTGTCTTCTTCGCTTTTGAACTTAAAAATCACCCATCCTTTGCTATGTGACTTAATATCAACCTGTACACCCCACTTTGTAGCCATGTCATGTATAGCTTTAAGCCCGGGGAATCTACCCGAGAAATGCCCAACAAGGCAGAAACCCCAGACCTCAATTAGTGTTGGTACCTGAAGGTGGGAGAAATCTAGTTTCTCACCAGTAGGAGGGAAATATTCCAGTTTAAGACCATTTGATAGCGCCCTGTTATCTCGGAATAAAGAAGACCATTGTTTAGTCTCCTTTTCATCTTTCTTCATCTGTTCTTTCGATGAAGCAGCCTCCTTATCCAGCAGCTCAACTGAGTGTGTGTCTTGTGAGCCAAGAGAAATAGATTCATCTTGACTTACAACATGATTTTCATCCGATGTCTCAATTATAAGTGCATCAAGGTCCGGAGTGGTTACAACTGCCAGCGAAAGTTCTTGGGAAGCCTCAGCATTAGAGGAAGCAGACCCTATACCCAGTACAGCTTCAGCGTAAGAGGTAGTCCCCACAGAGCCCAGTGATACTTGAGTAGGAGTGGAGTGTGCCGCTGTATGGAAATCAGTGGCCTCCATAGGAATAGGTGAAGATACAGTAGGTATTTCCTCCTCAAATCCTTTCTTTTCCAGTTTATCCGCCAAAACAGCAGCTTTCTTTGCTTTCAGGTAGGCAATTTTATCATCAAACTGCTTATCTTTCGCCGGGGGAGTCCTGTTTTGCTTATTCTTCTTTGTCATAACATACGAACAAGGTCCAGAACACTCGGAGTTATGATAGCACAACCATATTACACTGGATGTCCCTGCAAGGTTAGACTACAGCAGAATACGAAAAGCAAGACAAGAAATCCAACAAGCACTGCGTATACAGTTTAGTAATAGTAATTAAACAACAGCCCGAAATGTTACTAAACAAGTGCCAGATGCTCTATATTCAAAACAGTTAGCAAGAGTTGCACAAAACAGTTCTGAATATACCCAGGATTTTCAAGAAGAAATTTTAGAAAATCATATCATAAAGTTCTAAAAATAATCTCAGATATACCTAGAGTAGTATAGAACAGTCTATTGAAAATCACTTGTCAAAATACCAAGCGTAGTAATCACAAACAATTTCTAACTAGTATGGTGTAAATTTCCAACCAGATCAGAAAAAGACTTGCAAAGTGTTACACTTTGATAAAGCAAGTTGAGATGAAATCAAGAACTGGAATTAACCCAGTGTTCTTCACTTCTGCGAACTGTGAACAGTACGAAGAAATGGAAGAAACAGATACAATGAAGAACAAGAAGTGTACTTAGCTTGTTTCAGTCTGGTGGGATCAGCAATAGTTTCAGAATTCAACTCGCTCTTCTGTTAAGTGAGAAATCCAGATTCAAAGCAACTCTTCGTGCAAGTCGAAGATGAACAGTGCTTGTAGTCTGGATATTGTCACCTCCAGTCTTGGGAGCAGATCCAAAAGGCCCTCCTGGGTGAGGCTCGCCCAAGGTGAAGCTTCGATTCTAGTTTAATCAAGCGGATGATGAGCAGTCTGAGAATCCCCAAGTCTGCAATGGACCGTTGACTTCAGCTTCAAATCTATCGATTCTCGAGTATGAGGATGAATTAGAGGCTGAAATCAGTGTTGGGAGGTTCGCCAGAGGATGGCGACCCCCAATCGAGCCTTGAAACTCGAAGACAATCGTCCAATCTTCAGCTCCAAGGAGAAATCAAAAAGTCGATGAACAGTGCTTTTCGCAAGATCTATTTCTCGAAACCCTTCGTATCTGCTGTAGTATCCGATTTCTTTCCAAAGTAAGAATGGAAAGATGAACCACGAGCAGAGAAGTAGGGATTCAGAGATTAATCGATGGAATCAAAAGGGGAGAGAGCTTGAGTGATTCACGAGCGATCTAAGTATTTCCGACCAGGGGTGCGAAAAAACCTAGAGAGAAGGACGAGCGTTTCTCAACGCGTGAACCTGAAAACACCCCTTACATTAATACATAACATGTAACCCTCCATGGCTTCATTCGCATATGCCTGGTGGATCCTCTCCCCTTCCTGGTAGATTTGCATCTGACCAACCTTCGTCTAAGCGAGTACTATCGAAGCAGCCACCATTGGCGCAACCACCATCGACGCAACTACCACCGTTTTCCCACCATCGCCTCCCAGAAGCGTCGCAACCACCATTTCGTCTTCTCTTCTTCTCCATGGAGATTGAGGAGCCGTTATCGCCGTTTATTGGCGATTGGATGGCGAAAATGGTTTAAATCACCGTCGTTCGTCGATTCAGTGTGGATAGAGTCCAAAGACGACGGTGGAATGTAGTCTAGGGTTACCGGGGGTGATGGTTGGCGATTGGGGGATAAACCGTGGTGGCTTGGGGCGTCAATCGTCGATTCTATGAGGATTGAGTCCGATGGCGGTATAGATGTGGCTAGGGTAACGGCCGATTGTGGTGTGTTGATCACCAATTGGAGGGCCGAACCCTGGTGGCTTGGGGATGGGGTTGGCTGGCGGCTTAGGTTACGAGTGGTATGAGGTGAGTGGGGGGGCGGGGTGAGAGGAGGGCTGGCAGGGGCGGTGGTGGACGTGGGCTGGTGGTGGCAGGGGTTTGGGGGCTGGAGGAGGCTGGAGATAGTTTGGGGTCACTTTCCGCTGGAGATGTCGGGGGGTGGGGTGGTCACTGAGACACTGACGTGGCGGTTGGTCCCGATATTGGTGGGCAGATGAGTTGATGGTCAGAGGGAGCGGTTGTCGGCGGCAGTGGCACGGGGTTTGGGGGCTGTGGTTTGGGTTAGATACGGGGCGGGGATGTCTGCCGGAGTGAGTGCGGTGGTCATTTCACGGCGGTCATGGCGGTGTAATCATAAATTTGTTTGAATAAAGATGTCATCGGATTGTTAGTAACTGTAACAATAATTGATCGGCTCCTATAATTGTAATTAATCGAATCGAGTAACTGTAAGTCTGTAACTGGTAAAATTGGATAAATAAAAGTAGTTGAGTTGAGTAACTGTAACTGGTTAGTTCACGTAATTGTAACTAGACACGCGGACATTGATCACTGAAAAGAGGTATGTAGGTCGTTAAACGGGTGAAAGTTACTTGTTATTGGATAGAAATTTTGGTTACTAATGATTTTTGGTCACTGTGAATTTTGGATGTTTGGTTATTAATGATTTTTTTGGTCACTGGTGAATTTTGGATATATTTGGTCACTAATTATTTTTGGTCACTAAGGGATTTTGGTCACTGAGATATTTTGGTCACTATGGTGTTACTGGTCACTGTGACGTACGTTGCTGTAGCACTAATAGGGGTGTAGTAGTCTCCTAAACTCTTTTTAGTCTTATTTTCGGAATTTGAGAAAAAAGATCACTTTTGTGTCTATAGCAATTTTTTGTAGTAATATTTTAGACATAACCCCAATATGTATTGTTCAAGTTTTTTTTTGTTAATTATTTCTGTTAAATCACGCTAATTGTAACATCGATTGGAATGTAAGATCCACATGTACTTGCAGTTATTTAGCTCCATTTTAGGGAAAACTGTCAAATAGGTCCTCGAACTTTCATAAAAAAGTCAATTAAGAGCCTGTTTGGAGACCCCTTTCTTCGGCTTATCAGGCTTATCAGTCAGCTTTTTCACCAAACACGTAATTTTTACTTTCGCGTGCTGAATTGTGTAATAAGCAGAAAAAGTAAGGTTGGAGTTACTTTTCTGGCTGTATTGGCTGAAGTTACTGTAGATGACCATTTTAGTTATTTTTACATGTATTTTTTTCTTTATTTTATTAATAAAATATACTTTTAAAATATTTTTTTCTAGAATCAGCAGAATCAGCCAAAACAGCCACTTCAGCCAGAACTTCATAAATTTCAGCAGAACCAGCCAAAACAGCCGATTTTCGTGCTACCAAACGGGCTCTAAGTCCTTCTATAGGTGACTTTGTCCGGTTGTCGCGATTTGGGGCGGTTCTCGGTGAAATTTTTTGATGAATTTTTTTTAACATCTTATTCATCAAGTGTAGTATACTCATACCAAATTTCAGTTAAAAATTTAATCGGGAGCGCATTCAAATTAATTCGAGAACGCAAAAATGCGCAGTTATCTTCAAGAATTAATTTGAATGTGTTCCCGATTGAATTTTTAGCTGAAATTTGGTATGCGTAAACTAGACTTGGTGAATAAGATGCTCAAAAAAATTCATCAAAAAATTCCACCGGGAACTGCCCCAAATCACGACGGCCGGACATAACCTTATAGAAGGACTTAATTGACCTTTTTATGAAAGTTCGAGGACCTATTTAACAGTTTTCCCTCCATTTTATCTAGATTAAAATATTAATGTGCTATAGTTATTAGCTCCCATGACAATGATGTTTTAGTGGCACTTCCTACTGAACTGGAGATTCGAGAGGTTGTGTGGGGCCTAAGTGCCGATGCTGCTCCGGGACCAGATGGATTTGGGGGTAGTTTTTACAAGGGCTGTTGGGATATTATCAAACAAGATGTGGTGCTGGCAGTTCATGAATTTTTTATGGGGTTTCCGGTGACTAAAGGAGTAGGAAGCGTGAATTTGGTTTTGATTCCAAAAAAGAAAAGCCCTATCTCTTTTAGTGATTTTAGCCCTATCTCTTAAGTAAAATTAATACACGCATTCTAGCAACGAGATTGTCCTCTATTTTAAGAAAAATTATTTCCGATGAGCAGTCAGGCTTCATGAAAGGCAGGGAAATTCAACCTCAAGTACTTGTTGCCTTGGAGATGTTACACCACCTGGATAGAAAGGTCAGGGGGTCAAACCTGATAATTAAGCTGGATATGGCAAAGGCGTTCGACAGAGTGGCATGGGGTTTCCTGGATGCTATCCTTCATAAATTTGGTTTTAGCTATCATGTTTATTAGCTCCCATGAATCATGTTGGTATAGTGCAGTGTTCTAAAAGTCGCTAGGCGCTAGTCGGGCGCTAGCCCAGTGCCTAGCGCCTAGGCGGGCGCCTAGGCGGGGACTAGTCGGAAACATAGAAATTGCATTTTTATCTATATTTTTACATAAATATGATTAGTAATATTGTATTTTTGTGTGTATGAAATACATATATACATATACATTAACAAACATGAATGATAGAATTACACATTTAATCATACGTAGTATATGATAACTAATCACTTAACTTCATTATGTTATAAATATAAATAATGATAAATTTTAGGTATATATACAAACTATATAGTTTTATCATAATTTACAACTCCATTTCTTTATATCAATGGCTAAAGTTAAAGTATGTATATCGCTTAGAAAATTAAAATTAAAAGGTGAAGTAATGTTCGTCGAATCTAGACGCCCTAGGCGGCTGATTAGGAGCTCTAGGCGGGCAACTAGGCGCCATAGGCGGCCGTCTAATTCACCTAGACGGCAAACCAATTAGTAGGAGCGCCTAGACGAAAATCGGGGCGCCCGACCACCGCCTAGCGCCTAGGCGGGGACTAGTCGGGCGCCTAGAACGATTTTTAGAACAGAGGTATAGTGTGTCAATTGAGTTTTTTAATTCAGAACTACAACATGTGAGTTTTACTGTGTTTTGATTTTTTTTTAATTTGGAGCTGTACTATAGTTTTGTGTTTTGAAAGTTTTTTAGAAGATACACAAGAAAGGAGTCTTTTACTAAAAAGATTAAAAAAAAGGGGTTGTTGGTGACAAAGTGTAAGTCTAATCATTGGTCTTTAGGCTGGGGCTGGAATTACCTTAAATCTATTGTAATGGTTTTTTATTTATTAATTTCAGTATAATCAATTTTCATTAAAATTGATCTTAAAAGAAAAATGTTGTTACAGTTTGATAAAACGATTTAGTACAATTTCATATAACAATTTGTTGTGACTAATTGATACTAAAAATTACAAAATTTTCTCTGTCAAAAAAATATATATATATACAAAATTTCTTACAAAAGCCACCCACAGTAACTTCTTAAAATATTCTTAAATATTTAAAAAAGCTCTTAAATGTTTTGTGACAAACATAAAGCTATGAAAATTATACACGGTTATTTACATCAATTACATGGTAATGTGTATAACTTTCTATCAATTTACCGATTAAAGAACAAAAGGACTTGGTTGATATGTACAAATTAGAATAAGGACTAAGGACCAAACCGACATGGAGGCTGTTTGGTAACACTGTTTTTCGGCTTATTAGGCGTATCATCCAATCTTTTCACTAAACACGTAACATTTGTTTTCGCGCGCTGAATTGTGTAATAATAAGAAAAAGTAAGGTTGAAGTTACTTTTCTGGCTGTATTGGCTGAAGTTACTATGCATAATCATTTTAGCTATTTTTACATATAATTTTTTTTATTACTTTATTAATAAAATATATTTTAATTTTTTTTCTTTAATCAGCAGAATCAGCCATTGCAATCGCTTCAGTCAGAACTTCATAAATTTCAGCAAAATCAGCCAAATCGGCCGATTTTCGGGTTACCAAACGGGCTCATGGTCATAATTTACATACTCGTATCCCTTATGCTTTTACCCACAAAAATATGATTAAAGTTATTATTGTAGTCACTTTGTATCAGAGGTGACATTATTTCGTCCATCATCTTTATTTTAATCAAATGTATATTCTATCGTATTTGTTGTTGTTTCATATGACAAATTAAAAATATCAGTTATTTGTAATAAGATAGAGTACATATAAACCAAGTATTCCAGCTCTGCTGGTTGTGAGGTTACCGTGTCCAGTGAAGGTCTCAAGTTCGAAACCCACTAGGCACATAAGAGTTTGAAACTCAATGGACTGAGTTTCAGCCCTGATTACTCCAAGCCCCCCAGCCCCCCTCCCCCAAACCCCCCTGGAGCAAACAAAAACTAAAAGTAATAATGAATAGGGATTATAATTCTTGTAAAAAATAGTTATTATCATGGGCGGAGCTAGGGGAGGGCCATCCCTGACCCAGCCCAAATTTTAAAAATGCTTGTATTTTTAAAATTTATAGAAAAGCTAAAAAAAAAAAAGATATAGTACATATAAGTTGAAAATAGTGGATTGAGAATACCTACATCATTAAAGTTTAAAGTACGAGTGTACGAGAGACAAAGCTACGCTTGGAAGACCATTTCAACTCATTCAACTCATTGAGCTGAAATGTAATCAATCTAATTAGGAAAATTCCTTTTGTACACACCGTTTTACACGCCGGGTTACATGCTAGTCAAATTGTCTGTGTACAGACATTTTGACTAGCTACACAGACAATTTGACTGACGTTTTATGAAAAAAAACGATTTTCATACAGACAAAAATAAAAAAAAATTGTTTGTATCACGAATACTATGAAAAATTCTGGTCTAAAATATCTGTGATAAAGACAACTATTTATTTTATTGTCTGTATGGAAATCAATTTTTTTCATGAAATGCCAGTCAAATTGTCTGTGTAGCCGATCAAATTATCTGTACACAGACAATTTGACCGGCGTGTAACCCACTAACCCAGCATGTACACGAAGCGGGACTCATCTAATTAATTACTTCACATGTAGCCTTATTTGGATGAAAATTGATACTAGTTTAAATTATACGGAGTATTATCGTATAATACTTGTGAATACTTAACATCGAAATAGAGTCTACTTTAAAAATTACCGGCATCTAGTGCAAGTGAGCATAAACTATCTTAGAGCCTGTTTGGAGACCCCTTTCTTCGACTTATCAGGCTTATCAGTCAGCTTTTTCACCAAACACGTAATTTTTACTTTCGCGTGCTGAATTGTGTAATAAGCAGAAAAAGTAAGGTTGGAGTTACTTTTCTGGCTGTATTGGCTGAAGTTACTGTAGATGACCATTTTAGTTATTTTTACATGTAATTTTTTCTTTATTTTATTAATAAAATATATTTTTAAAATATTTTTTTCTAGAATCAGCATAATCAGCCAAAACAGCCGATTTTCGTGCTACCAAACGGGCTCTTAATATGAAAAGTACTAGAATATTAAAGAAGGTAAACATCTTTCAAAGATAAATGAACAATCATAAAAGAATGTTACTTGTACTACTTACTGGATGTGCGCAAATTTGTGTGCACATTTGGACCGAGTAATTGATATTGCTCCTTCCATAGAGAGGTTTACCATATTGGTAAACCTTTCTGCCAATATGGTTAACTAGAGAGATTTACACTTCAAAGTTAATTTCATCTCTCATTTACGCTTCGATTTATTTGTTTGATGTTATATTGTTATATAGTTTTTCTGTTATTGGTTCTGAGCATGTTGGTCCACATACCAGTTTACAAATGTATAAAGGCCTTCCCTAGTTGCAAAGAAATCTCATTATATTTCATCCAAAAAATAAGAAATCTCATTATAAGCCATTCAAGTGGGGTTCCCTTTGTTTGAAGTATATTAAATGCATGACTTTGTTTTAAAAACAGCCAAAGCAAAATTACTTCAATCCACAAAGAGAAGTCACATTTGAAACATTGTTCGTGTATACATAGAAAAGTCATATGAAAACCCAGAAAGCTACTCGTATTTTATTTACATATACAGTTATTGTTTGTAAAAGAAGTCTACAAACGAGTACACCGTACACAAATTTCATTTTTGTGCGCTTTACAATGATAAAGTTAAGCCTCACTCAACAACATATACGATAGTATGCAAGTGAATAATTGAAATTCAATTCTTATATAAAATCAGAATCGGAAAAAGGGAAAGAGGTCTAATTAGGCCTCGAACTTACATAAAAAGGTCAAATAAGCCCTTATATAGGAGGCTTTGTCTGGCCGTCGCCATTTGGGGCAGTTCCCGGTGGAATTTTTGGTGAAATTTTTTGAGTATCTTATTCATTAAGTCTAGTTTACTCATACCACATTTTTTGAATTCTTGAAGATAAATCGCTTTTAATTGTGCAATTATCTTCAAGAATTCATTTGAATGCCTTCTCGATTGAAGTTTTAGCTAAAATTTGGTATGAGTAAACTAGACTTAATGAATAAGATGCTCAAAAAATCTCATCAAAAAATTCTACCGGGAACCACCTCAAATGACGACGGTCATACAAAGCCTCCTATATAACGGCTTATTTGACCTTTTTATGTAAGTTCAAGGGCCTATTTGACCATTTTCTCTTGGAAAAATGATAATGTTTTATTTAGATACACCATAGACCGTAGTATATAAAATCTGAGATTCAAAGAGAGTTAAATTGATTGTGTGGATTAGTCATGGACTCGAGTCGGGCCGCCCGACCCGACCCGGTACCCGGTTATAGGACCGGTCCGGGCCACCCGAGTCCGGAATTAATCAGGCCGGGCTTAGGCCTCCTAAAAGTGGAACCGGCCCGGTTTAGGCCCGGAACCGGCACGACCTATTTGTTTTTTTCTTTTTCTATTTTTTTGTTTTCTCCCGGGTTGGTCTGGGTGTTTTGGGTGTTTTGGGGGGTGGGGATGAAGGGGGGGCTCGGGGGTTAATTAGAGAAGTAAAAGAAATTTAAAGAGAAAAATAACATGAACCGGCCCGGCCCGGAACTGGCCCGGTTCCGGTTCTTCCTCCCCAAAAAAAAGCCCGGCCGGGCACGGCCCGGCCCGAGTCCTGGTGTGGATAAAGCACGAGAATCAACAAATAGAGTCAATGAAAGTCAGGCTCATGTGCTAAGAAAAAGAAAACGGATTTACCAAAAAAGATTAAGATTTCAAAAACTTATCAACAAAATTCAAAGGTCAACTCCTCAAAATTTCGCATTCTTTTGTTTTATCATATGAAATTCACTACTCCAAGACCTAACATTTCAAAAACTTATCCTCCATTACTATGACCAAGGAACCACCCCATCCGTCATTGTTGGTCACCGTCAACTGCCTCCACCATGGCAATCCGGACCACCTCCGATATCTGCATCAAAATGAATTCAGAAAGTGAGTTTGATATATAGGTATTAGTAAACATATTTTCACAACTGGAAATAAAAAACCATAGAAGGAAAACAAAGAAAATGAAACTAAGTAAATGGGCACTCAATTTACTTTTGCATCATAGTCGATTATACTCATTATAAAAAGCGAATGTTTTGTGATTCTTTATCCAAGGGGGCCTTTATAAGTATCGCATAAATATCCAAAGCGAAATGGGTATTACCAAGATGACAAAAATCACCACTAGCAACACACAGAAAAACAAATAGACATGTTGAACAAATACAGCACATTGAATGAAATCAAATAACGAATACAGCAAAATAACGAAGAGGTTAGCTACAGAGCATAAGAAAGGTAGCAAGTGAGGATTAAGTGACATGCATCTATGATCTATGCAATCGTTGTTTCAATTGCAACTTCGGCCACGAAGTCATCAATCTCAAATTAATGCCACGATCAAACTTTCCATTGCGTGTTTTGCCCTACAAAAAGTATAATATTAGACCTTAAGTAATTAGAACAAAAAGTATAATATTAGACAAAAAGTATAATATTAGAACATAAGTACTAACTAGACCTTAGGAATTACTGAATTAGTAATTCCATATTCCTTATTTCTTCTGCTTTATCTGACCTCTCCATTCGTATCACGTGACTCGTTTGTATGTGCTTGAGCCACGAATATTGATGCAGACTCTGAAGGGCGAACCCAAAATCCTCACATCTGCCAAAGTTCAATGATTTTGAGGTTCCCAACGAATGGCGTTTTAAGGCACACCAAATCATTCAAGTCACACCTGCTGAAATGCAAAACTTATATACTTTGCACAAAAAAATTAAAAATACCTGAAGTTCCAGCAAATTAAAATTCAGTAATAAGGCTGGAAATATGAATCGCAAAACGGTTTTGATGTGTACTTCACTGTCTGATCATCTTTTCTACTGTGTGACTTATATGACAATGATTCTGAGATTGCCAGGCCCTTCTTGACCATTACGGTCCTTCAATTGACCATTACGGCCCTTCTCTGACATTGATACTGATAATTAGTCATCAAAAAGAATGATAATAATGATAGTAGTAATAGTAGTAACAGGTGGGGATTAGATGATGCTAATTTGGGAACACTTCAGTTGGTATAGAACTCTTGTAGAATGCTAACATTAGGTTAAAAAATGTGAACCTGCGTATTCTTACTGCTTTTTATAAAAAGCTATAGGTTCCGTACTTCCGTTTGAAACTCAGAAAATGCTAGAGAAAGAAAATAAAGAAGAAAATATAGGGAAAATTTGGAAGGACAGATAATGTGTGGAACAAACCATCAGTCCAAACTCATTTTATTTCTTGCTTAATTCTATTATATAAAGGCTGAGAAACTCAAAACATATACTATGTACAATTTTTAAAGATATTTATGATATTTCATCATTTTAGCATTTTTCATTTAGCATTTTCCGGGATCCAGACATGACCACAAAAGTGTAAATGCAAATGAAGAATGCTAACCACCGATAACTCCGATGACTGATGCATATCAGGTGAGTGAAAGGATTCAGGCAAACCCAATGAATCCATGGGTACATTTACCAAAATCGCCTGTGGCCTTCTTGGATTAGCCTAAGCATGCAATCTTGAACGGTCCTGTTTTTTACTTTTTGGCCATCCACTGTAACTGCTTATCATATGTACAGGGACAGAGTGAATACTATCCCCTTGAGATATCTCTGTTGTCTGGGAAGCTGCCTCAGAAACAGTATCATATGGAGTTTTGAGTGGTACCCTGGCCACAGTAGCTCCTCTAGAATAGTGGTTACTGCTTCCATTGCTTCTACGAGAAGAGTGAATACTGGAGTCGAAATCCTTCATAGACAAAACATCATACTATCATAGTGAGTGGAGATAACAGCTTATTTAACAATAACACTGGAGAGAGAGGGAGAGAGAGACCTCAATAGGAGCCACTCCTTTTCGACGTGCTCTTATATTTCTGGAATATGCAGACCCCCTTCCTGTGGAACCTGCCCTCCTCCTGAAAATTAAGGGATAATCCAAATTTAGACTTCAAATGAAGGCACTGTGTTATTCAAAAAATCTTACTTTGCGGAGATTTAGAGCCTCTTTGGGATAACTTATGGTATCACTGCATAACCGTTGACAGTACAACTAGGATGTTTTTACTTGGTCTGTAATTTGTCCCAGACCAGATCAGACTTGGATAGTTATAAAAATACAAAGAGACCAGACATTACCAGACCAGATCAGACCAGACCAGCAAATTACAGTCCAAGTAAAAACATCCTTAATGACTATCAACTATTTAAGTGCTTTTCATAAGTGTTTCCTCTTGTAAGCATGTCAAGTGGTTTCTGAAAGCACCAATCTGCTACTTTTTTAAATAATCAGAAAAAGTGTTTTTTTTACTCTCAAAAGCGCATTTTTCCCATTTCTGCCCCAATGCTTCCTTTATAAGCAAATAATTTTTCCATCGAAAAAAGCTTTCTTGTTTGAATGGGATGAAGCTGAATAAATGTAAGGCATTGTTAAGTTTTGAAAGTCTAATGCTATCAAATTTACAAAAAAGCAGTGGAACTACATCACCTCCTTGTTTCTTCCCGGATTTTTGCATCAATCTCTTTGTTTGGTGGGAACTTTGGCAGGCTTGATGGGTTACAAGCATATGGCCTTGAATGGAAATACTAAACCCAGAAACACAATATAAAGAGATCAGTTTTAATAAATATATTTGATGAGTGAAATAACACTGTTATGTCAGAAACACAACATATTGACATTACTAATTATATGTGCTAAATTGATAATAAGGAGTGAGATCACACTACTATGCCCCATGGTTGCATGATACTTGAAGCACAAATGAGATTGTGAAATCTCTTGTGAGAATTACCTCAGAATTAAGAGAGGATGAAGCAGTTCCACGCTCATAAGGTTCTATTGAGAGAAGGGTTTGTATAAGGTTTACAGCAGCTTTTGGTAATTCTTTACATCTTTCGCGTAGTGTACTCTCATAAGCAAATTGGGGTTTAAACATAGCTGCGAGCGAAAGGTTTGAATTTTCCCAATAATGATCGGGCGGTGAACCACAGAGTTTAAAGATCTTGTGCAATTGTTCCACCTTCCAAACAAGTAAGACAATAATGTTAAGAGAACTACTACTACTGGATGTTCATCATAAGTAACACAAGACATAATTAAAACAAACATAGATTGATATAAGAATTCACACTAACCTCAGTTCTACCTTTTAGTAGAGGCCTCCCAAAGAAAAGCTCTGCAAATACGCAACCAGCACTCCATAAATCAACTGTCAAACCATACTTTGTGGACCCTAACAGAAGTTCGGGCGGTCGATACCAAAGGGTCACTACTCGACTGGTCAGTGGATGCTGGTCGTTCCATGCACTCACAAAATTTGCAAGACCAAAGTCTCCTATTTTCAAAATGCCTTCATTATTTACCAAAATGTTTGATACTTTGATGTCTCGATGCATAACCCCTCTAGAATGGCAGTGCTCCAGTCCAGACAATAGTTGCTTCATAAAGCATTTAATCTATATTCCAAATACGGAAAGGATGAAAGAAATAGGAAAATTTGAAAGCAATAACACAAAAACAATTTGCAATTTGCATCAACAAATCAGAGAACAATGTTATAAAGAAACCTGTGAATCACTGAACTTGATGTCAGGACAAGACAGCAGTCCTGATAGATCATGTTCCATGTACTCAAAGACAAGACATATGCTACATGATGAATGGGAGGTGATTACACCCTCCAGTTTCATGATGTTCGGATGATCAAGTCTGCGAAGGATAGTTATTTCTCGTGCCATAAATCTAACACTCTCAGGTTGGAAGTTGTCAAATCGCACCTTCTTCAGAGCAACCATCTTACCAGTTTCAAGATCGTGTGCCCTGTACACGCTGCTGTATGTTCCCTGTCCAATCTAGGATGAGACAGAAAATGAATCTTTATCACGGTCCAATATTTTATTTCTTTAATTAACCCATCGTAAATCATTACAGCGTTCTCATTCTATCATTGTCTATAGAAAAACATGCAATGCTTATAAATCTAATTCCGTTTTGGGCGAGGCAAAAGAGCAAGCGCCTTGTGTACCTTTTCTAATCTCTGAAACTTGTCCGCTCTGAGGGGAATCCATCCCTCAACTGCCTCTCCAGCAACCGCAGAGAGCCAGGAAGGCCACCCGGCAGCTACATGTTCACCTTTCGTTAGCCTCCCAAATTTGATACTAAAAGTAGCTTTCTTTACCGGATGCACCTTTGACAAGGCCTTCGGATTACCAGAATATTTCTTGGCGGGAGAACAACATTCCTCTTCCCCCTCCTCAGACTCCTCTTGGATCTTTTCCAACCCTCCAAACCCAACATTGTAGTGTCCCAAACTCGACCGGGCACGACGTCGCTTCACGCCTTCCCGGGTGGTGGCAATGGTGGAGGAATCCGGGGAAGAAACGGCGTCGCGGCGCGCCTGTCTGGATGTGACGCAACCCATGAGCCCGACCTCCGAAAACCAGTTAATTGATCATAAGATTTCGGGAAGCCCGGCGAGGACACTTAGACACCCATCATTGGATTTGGGTCAGTGACGCAGCCGGAAGAGACCGAGAAGCGAGAGGAAAGGGGCGGTGGCCGAACCACCGGAGAGGGAATAAAAGCAGAAAATGGCTAATGCGATTCGGGGAGTTGCAGAGTTTCAGGCTTTCATCCAACATAATCAAGCAAGAGACATACGCGGGGAACAGAGGACGAAATCACGCATTTTCAACAACCTCTCCAATAAGCTGAGGAACTCGAAATTCACAAGTGTTCGGTTCAACGTTGCAATTGAAAAGGATTTTGAAAAGAACTAAAATAATTCGAGTAGATTTTTATATACAATTTTAATATATATATATATATATATATATATATATATATATATGTGGAGTTTAATATAATAGGGTTAGTGGTGATAATTGTGATGTTACAAATGTATTACTTTTATTATTTTATTATTTAATGATTGATTAATTATTTAAGATTGTTAATTATTTTTCTAAAATGGGAATGAAAACTTTTATATAAGATGTCTAAAATAGAAAGTAAGAACCTTTCTATGCGACGGATTAATATTTTATCCGTTCTATAAAATTTAGCCAAATTTATCTTATACGTAGAATAGTAAAGTATATAGGAAAAAAGTGAAACAAGTCATTCTACTATTTTCAATTCATCATTTAAGCTCTTATACTAAAAAAGTATCATAAATGTGATTGAAATATGCACACAAGAGATAAAAATTACTTTAATCACATATTTAATACTCCCTCCGTTCTTTATTATCTGTCCCGCTAGCCTTGGGCACGGGTTTTAATAGAAAAATAGTAGGGTAAATGTAGAGTGTGTAGAGTAAATGATAAAGTATGAAAGAGAGTATATTAAAAAGAGTAAAGTGGTGATAAAGTGATGATAAAGTAGGAAAGAAAGTATATTAAGTAGAGTAAAGTTATGATAAAGTAGGAAAGAGAAAGTAGTTTGTAAAAAGTAAGAGAGGTAAAAGTAAAAAAAGTGGGGTTATGTTATCAAACACTTTCATAAAGTAGAAAGAGAGACAAATAATAAAAAACGTCTCAAAATGGAATGCGAGACAGATAATAAAGAACGGAGGAAGTACTTTAAATGGAAATGACTTGGAACACCTAAAAAAGAAATTTTGGCATATTTTATGATTGGAGGGAGTAATAGAGACTTTTTGATAGATAAAAATATGTTCAATATTTTATTTATTTAGACCATAAACATATTAACTTCACCATGAGATCATTTTTTGGTATCATGCATGTCTCAAGTCATGATAAAGGAGAAGAGTGTTGTGGTTTGCGCGTGATAGCCAACAGTATCACTTAGTCACATCACATGACATGAATCGAAATATGAATATCGCTACATCTAGGTCGTCGCCCGTAAGCGACACGTCACCCCTCCGCCTGGGGATGCTATCAAATATGCAAGGACGCGCTACACTTCATAGGCCTGGGTGTGGTGATAAAAATGCTAAGCCTGCTAGGTCGTCGCCCAGAAGCGACGTGACGCTCCTATGCTCGAGGATGGTGTCAAATATGCAAGCACATGGTGGGAGTCGATGTGGTGTGAAGAAGAAAAGGCATGGTGTTAGATTGCTTTTCGGGACATGGAATGTTGGCTCTCTTACACTAAGATCGTCTGAGATAAGTGAGGTTATGAAAAGGAGGAATTGAGTACCCAATCATACTTTCCCAATATATCTTTATCTTAGAAATGGCAGGATTCGTTCAGAAGATCGGCAATTTGATTCACGACAAGCCGGCGGAAGCCCACAAGGACGGCGAGAAGTCGTCGGAAGCCCACCATTCCAGCCATCCAGAGGCTGCCCACAAAGACAAAGGACTCGTCGAGAAGATCAAGGACAAGATCCACGGCGAAGGGGAGACGAAACCCCACGGCAATCCGGCGGATGCCCGCCATTCCGGCGAGGCGGGGCACAAAGACGACAAAGGAATCGTCGACAAGATCAAGGACAAGATCCACCACGAAGGAGGCGAGAAACAGGGCAAGGACAAGAAAGACAAGAAGAAGAAGAAGGAGAAGAAGTCCGGGCACGGGCACGGGCACGAGCACGGCGGCGACAGCAGCAGCAGCAGCAGCGACAGCGATTAGACCCGTTCACCGGCGATGGATCGGAGTTCTTTGGGATTCTGATGAATAAATGAAATGTGTACGGCCGCTGGGATTGTTTTGTAATTCTGTAATATTATGAGGACATGTGTGTTAACAGTATGTATTCCTCCTTTGACATTATCAGCAAAAAAAAAAAGTCTTTGTTTTTGGTTAAAAAAAAAAAAAAAAAAAAAAAAAGGAGGAATTTCAGCATAATGTGCATGCAAGAAACTAAGTGAGTTGGAGAAAAGGCACGTGAGATTAATCTCGTAGGTTTTAGTTTGTGGTATTCGTGGAGAGAAAGGAACAAAAAGGGAGTAGGCATTATGGTGGCACATACATGATTATGTTGAGGGTGTAGTGGAAGTCTTCAGGAAGAACGACCGTGTCATGAGCATTAAACTGATTATAGGAGATGAGATTGTGTCAGTGGTAAGTGCCTATGCACCATAAGTGGGATTGGATGCATCTATCTCTCAACAATTTTGGGAGGATCTTGGGGAGGTGGTGCGACGAGTGTCAAGGGGAAAGAAGCTGGTCATAGGAGGCGACCTCAACGGGCATGTGGACCCAAGTCATGATGGTTTTGAGAGTATCCATGGCGGGCATGGTTTTGGCACTAGAAATGAAGCGGGGAAAAACATTCTGGATTTTGCCTCAACATATAAGTTTGTTGTGATGAACATTTGGTTCAAGAAAAGAGACTCTCACCTTGTGACGTATAGAAGTGGAGCTAATCGTACCCAAATTGACTACTTGTTAGTACGAATGACTTGGAGATCTAGTTACACTGATTGTAAGGTTATCCCATGTGAGAGTGCTGTCACTTAACATACGATGTTTGTGCTTGATTTTCAAGGTAAAAAAATAGAGAGAAGGAGGGTTAAGGTACAAGGGGAGCCAAAAATAAAGTGGTGGAGGCTCGAGGGGATTCTCCAACAAACGTTTGCACATAAAATGTTGGAGGAAGATATATGGTCCATTGATAATGGCACACATGTGGATGATGTGTGGTTATCAATGGAGTCCACCTTTAACAAAGTGACGAAAGAGATACTTGGAGAATCTAAAGGATGTCTACCACCAAAAAGGACACATCTCAGTGGAATGATGAGGTGAAACAAGCAATAAGGATCAAAAGGGAATGCTATAAAAAATTGGGCAAAGTTGGAGTGACGAGAACATAGAGGATTACAAGGAGGAAGAAAGAAGAGCAAAGAAAGCTGTAAAGGAAGCAAGAGGAAAAGTGAACAAAGAATTGTATGCAAAATTGGGCTCTAGGGAAGGGGGAAAGGATATTTACAAACTTGCTTGTGTTCGTGACCGTAAGACTCAAGATATCGCAAAAAATTAAGTGTGTAAGGGATGTCGATCAAAGGGTACTAATGGAGGACAGGGAGATAAAATAGAGGTGTAGGTCATATTTTGATACATTATTCGACGGGAACCATGCGCAAGATATCGGTGATTTGATCATACCAGATTGTATGGTAAATCATGATTTTGTGAGAAGGATCCGACCAACAGAAATTAAAGAGGCCTTGAGGAAGATGGGGCGGAAGAAAGCAGTGGGTCCAGATGGCATACCAATCAAGGCTTGGAGAAGTTTGGGAGAGAGAGGCGTCGAGTGGTTAACAAGTTTCTTCAACATGATTTGGAGAAACAACAAGATGCCAACGAGTTAAAGGAAGAGTACTCTTATCCCTTTATACAAGAATAAAGGTGATGTACAAGAATGTACCAACTATCGATGGATTAAGCTTATGAGTCACCATGAAACTTTGTGAGCGAGTTTCAGAGAACCGTGAAGATTTCAGAGAATGTTTTATGTCTGGTGTTCATTGACTTAGAAGACGTTTATGATAGGGTACCTCGAGAAGTTCTTTGGTGGGCCTTAACTAGAAAAGTCATATCACACAAGTATATCAACATCATCATGAATATGTATGAGGATTGTACTACAAGTGTCTGTACTAGTGTAGGGAGGACTGCGGAGTTCCCTATTACTATCAGAGTGCACCAAGGATCGACTCTGAGCCCTCTCTTATTTGCCATAGTCATTGATGAACTTACGAAGTCAATTCAAGACAAAATACCATGGTGCATGATGTTTGTCGACGATATTGTATTAATTGATGAGACGCAATCATGTCTTAAAGCAAAGTTGGAAGTATGGCGACAAAAATTAGAGAACAAGAGTTTCAGACTAAGTCGAAGCAAGACAGAGTCCATGAAGTGCAGGTTTGTTGGGGGTAGAAGCAGTGGTAATAGCAGAATTACTCTAGAGTGTTGAACGGTGAAACAATGTCACATTCAAAATTTGAGTGTGCCGGAGATGCGCATGCTGCACTAGATGTGTGGCCAAACTAGGAAGGACCATGTGAGGAATGAGACAATCGGACAAAGGGTGGGAGTAGCACCTATTGAAGACAAGATGCGGGAGTCGCGCCTATTGTGGTTTGGTCATATGCGTAGAAGACCGAGTGATGCACCTGTCAGGCGGGTTGAGATGTGTGGAGAAGAGGCAGGAAAGAGAGGGTGAGGAAGGCCAAAACAGACGTGGGTTAGGGGAGTCCGAAGTGATATGCTTCTTCTTGGGTTAGATGAGGATATGGCTTTTGAGAGAGCAAAGTGGAGGACGGATATTAGTGTAGAGGAGTGATCTTGTATTATGTTTTCCCGTCATTTTTTTTTTGTTTTTTATCCTTTTATCCTTATATATAAAAAGGATCTACATTTGGTGTTCATTGACTTATGAAAGGCATATGATAGGGTACCTCGAGAAGTCCTTTGGTAGGTCTTAACTAGGAAAGGTATATCACGTAAGTATATCAGTATCATCATGGATATGTATGATGCTTGCACTACAAGTGTCCGCACTAGCGTAGGAGGACCACAGAGTTCCCTATTACTATTGGAGTGCACCAAGGATCTGCTCTGAGTCCTTTCTTATTTTTTATAGTCATGAATGAACTTACGAAGTCAATTCAAGAAGATATATATACCGTGGTGCATGATGTTTGCCGACGATATTGTATTGATTGATGGGACACAATCCGGTGTTAAAGCAGAGTTGGAAGTGTGGCGACAAACATTGGAGACCAAGGGTTTCAGACTAAGCCGAAGCAAGACTGAGTAAATGGAGTGCAAGTTTGG